TCCCAGTCTATCTGGGTGAGCAGCATGGAAGTGTCCTTGCAAGTTTGCGTCCAGAATGTCCCGGGATGGAACCCAACACTGCTCTTCTGGACCGTACCCCTCCAAGTCCATCAGATACTCGAGTCCACCTCTCCTACGTCTGGAGACCAAGATCTCACGAACACGGTATGCTGAGCAGCCCCCGATCTCCAGCGGCTCCGGTTAGGAGTTCTCCGGAACCGCCATTTCCAGGGGACCAGGTGTCACCGGCTTGAGTAGGGAGACATGGAACGATGGGGCAATACAGCTGTGTCTGGGCAGGTCCAGGCGGTGCGTGACTTTGTTAACCTGCTTCAGGATTTGGAAGGGGCCGATATACTGGGGTCTCAATACTTTCTGCTCGGGAGTGGAAACCTTAGGTTTCTCGTGGAAAGCCATACCTTGTCTCCTAGTTGATATTTGGGGTGACTCACACGGCGCCTGTCTGCTCTTTGTTTGGCAGTGCAGGCGGTCTACACCAACTGCTGATGGGCACGTTCCCAGACCTGTTCACTCTGGCGAAACCAGTCATCTACTGCTGGGGAGGCAGTGGGGGAGGCATTCCAGGGAAACAAAGGTGGCTGATAACCTAAGATACAGAGAGTTTTGTGCATAATCAGCCCACAGAAGGAAATGACTCAAAAGGTCAAAAGGTTCAGAGGAATCATATGACCTCCTGATTGGCCGGTTCGGCCTGTCCATTGGCCTGGGGGTGATAACCAGATGTAAGGTTAACAGTAACCCCATCTTCTCCATGAATCTGGCCCAAACTCGAGACGTGAATTGTGGACCCCTGTCACTCACAATCTCCTCCGGGATGCTGAAGTATCGAAATACATGTTAATGTAAAACATTAATTCAGTTATGGCATAGGCAGATGGATGTGCTGGAAGTGGAATCAAGCATAGGGATTTTGAAAACGGGTAAACGACCGTGTTAACTTGTGACTTCGGCAGGTCCGTTATGAAGTTCAGCACTATGTGTGACCATGGGTGTACGGGTATGGGGAGAGGTACCAATTCTCTGGCTGGTAGGGGCCGTGGTACTTTCGATTGAGCGCAGGTGGAACATGAGGACACAATGTGCTGTACCTCTCTAGGCATTTGGGGCCACAAATATTTCTCAGCCAGTATTTGGTAAGTGTGATGAGATCCCAGATGCCCCTTCGCTAGTGTCATGTGGGCCTAGGTGACCAGTTATAGGCGGAACCGTTCTGGCACGAATTGTTTCCCTGGAGGACAGGCTGTCAGATCTCATGACCTGGGGAAGTGAGTTAAAGCTTGATCCAGAACTCACTTGATGGTGCCAACAATACAGGAGGGGGGCACGATATGATCTCCGTGATCCACTCGACTTTCAGGAGTAAGGATTCGGGACAAACCATCTGCCTTTGTGTTCTTTGTTTCAGGTCTATATGACAGGTCGAACTGAAACCTGGAGAAGAACATAGACCAGCGTGCTTGGTGGGGCTTGAGCCGTTTGATGGTCCTCAGGTACTCTAGATTTTTATGGTCTGTATAAATTAGGAACGGATGGTTGGCAACCTCCCGCAATGTCTCCACTCCTCTAGGGCCAATTTAATGGCCAGGAATTCACAGTGCCCCACATCATAATTTTGTTCAGCGGGTGACAGCTTTCACAAGAAGAAGGCCACAGGGTGTAGCTTGGGTCTGTCCTCTGAGACAGAATGGCCCCACCCCCTCTTCAGACGCATTAACTTCCATGACGAAAAGTCTGGAGGGATCCGGGTGACAGAGAATGGGGGCCATAGTGAATGCCCGCTTAAGCTTATCCAGAGACTCCTGGGCGTTGGTGTCGCAAAGAAGTTGCCACGGTTTCCCTCACAGGAGGGATGTCAGGGGCCATGCTACTTTACTGAAGTCTCGTATGAATCTCAGATAAAAGTTTGCAAAGCCAAACTAATTCCTAGATGGCTTGGGGAATGGGCTACTGCACCACCACTTGAACCTTGCGTTTGTCCATGGCGACCCCTTCCGGACTAATGACATACCCCAGGAAAGAGATGGTGCGCTGATGAAACTTGCACTTCTCAGCTTTTACATACAACTGATACTGTAGCAGGCGGTGCAAAACTTGTATGACATGCTTGATGTGTTCCTCAAAGGACGTTGAGTAAATTAGGATATCATCAATATAGGCGATAACGCATACCCAGCATGTCCCTCAGGACAGCGAGCCCATACGGCATGACTGCTAGTTCCCAGATTTGGTGCTAAAGGTCGTCTTCCACTCGTCTCCCTTCCTGATGTGGATCAAGTTGTACGCGCTGCACAAGTGTAGTTTTGTGAAAAAGGTCACAGACCTTAGCTGTTCCAGGGCGGCAGGCACTAGAGTCAGGGGATATCTGTACTTCACTGTTACCTGGTTGAGACCCGGATAATCGATGCATGATTGAAGCCCCCCCTCCCCTTTCTCTACAAAAAAGAACGAATGGATGGATGGATGGCCGAATACACCCCTGCTGGAGAGCCTCTTGAATGTATTCTTCCATGGCCCGAAGTTCCACTTGGGAAAGCAGGTAGGCTCAGCCCCGTGGTGGGCTAGCTCCGGGAAGGAGGTCTATGGTGCAGTCGTAGTGTCTGTGTGGTGGTAAAACGCTTGCCCTTTCCTTGCTGAACACCCCGCTGAGGTCACAATATTCTGATGGGACTGTGACAGGGACATGAGCTCGAGGACTCTCCACTGTTGTGGTGGCCACTGGAACAGGAGGGCCAATCAGGCAGTGTTGGAGACAGTAGGGGGACTACTTGGTAACCTGTTTGTCCAGACACGATAACTGGGGGTTATGACGTTTGAGCAAAAAGAGACCAAGAATGATGGGGTGCCTAGTGTAAACTGTAATGAAGAGGACGTTGGTCTCATGGTGAAGGGCACTGACTTGTCCGTTGATCTGCACTGTGCAGAGTGATATGACCCCGCCTCCAATTGGGGACCCATTGATGGAATGAACCTCATGAGGCTGGGGAGTGGGCCATATGGGAGGCTGAGAGACTGCGCCATCTGCTCGTCTATGAAGTTCTCAGCCGCTCCGGAGTCGATGAACGCTGTAAGTAAAAAAGACTGGCCTGAATATCTAATCACTTCAGGCAATGGTTGACTATCTGTGCTCCTCGCGGTCGGTCTGCACCCACTATGAGGACACTGCCAAATGGTGTGGGTGTTCTCACCGCAATAGAAACACAGCCGCTCCCTACATTGCCTCTCTCTCACCTCCGGGCGAATCTGGGCACGGCTGAGCTGCATTGATTCCTTGGGAGGGGTCGGCTCATGTGGAAGGGGGCCCACAGGGACGGTTCACACGGCGAGACAGTCTAGCCGTACAGCCAGGTCGATGAGGTCATTGAGGGTTAACTGCTCGTCCCGGCATGCCAACTTGCTAATCAGCTTGGGATTGAGCCCCTGCAGGAACGCGGTAATCAAAGCCAGCTCGTTCCACCTGCTTCTTGCAGCGATGGTGCGAAACTCCAGAGCATAATCTACCATGTCACGTGAGCCCTGCATGATCATAATGAGCTCCTGACCAGTTCTCCAGCTGTCAGGGGAATGATCGAAAGCACGTTGAAATCGGGAGAGGATATCCACTAATGCGGGTCTTACCACACCTCTACATTACCACTCTGCCGTAGTCCACTCCAGGGCGTGTCCATTAACTCCATGAAGTGTGTGAGCTTGTGAACTTCTGGAACTCAGTACTCCGGTGAACTGGAGCGCAGGCGTGGCTGGGAAATGTAGTTCTTGTCGGCTCTGTGACCGCGAGTTCGCCGTGGCGTAACAATAACTCTAGTTTAATTTTATCCAAATACAGTGTTTCCTCTAAGTAAATGTGTATAGAGACATTACAAAGAAAATTAAAGCTTGGAAGGAAAAAACACAGGCCCTTGATACCTCTAGTGACTTTATATAACTAGTACAGTTAGCTTGTTTTTCTGATTTTTTAATGATGCTAGTATGATGTGTAGTAACAAGCAAAAATCCTATTTTCACACTGTTCTGTGCTTGAATTAATTTGCATATAATTAGTTAGATTTAGAAGCAATATATAGTATAGTTAGAACAATTTCTCATAAATTATGAAAGGTATTCCTTCAGTCAAGTTATCTGCTGGTTGATAATTAAAAAAAATTGTGTACACTTTACATAATTATAGTATCAAATGAACTCATGATATTCAAAACTGTAAGATCTGGCATTGCAACTGTATCTAATGAGAATAGGACAGAAATTTAAGAAATATATTTAAAAAAACAAAACAGATTTTAATCAATTTCCATGTTGAGAAGTCATAATGGTACTGTCTCAATATTGCAAGCCCACCAAAAGGTCAGTTTCATAACCTGTCATTAATACAAGATAATTTGTTCTGAGGACACATTAGTAAAAATGAGGGCACTTTTAGAAATGGAGACTACACCATGTAAAACTTGCATAGCTGATAAAAGGCAGAAGTGGTATGCACTGGATGAACAGTCCCGAGAGATCCATGTCCATCCCTTGCCCCTTGTTTCCTGAGAGTAAATGAGTATTAATGGAGCCCTGACCCAGCCGGTGTGAGTGTTGTTATCACCAGGCCATGACTGTGTTTTAGAAGATTCTGTAATCTATTATTTATGAGAGATTATTCTCTCTGTGCCATGCAATATCAAGGTGTGCTTCGGGCTGATAAGCTGGCAAGTACACAATTCCAAACATTCTGAAGAGTGCTGTTATTTTAACATTTAGGGTGAGCCCATTATAAATACATGCACACACACATGCACACGTACCTGTACTGCTCTGACAGTGTGAGGATGTTCAACACTACTTGTAGCATTCAGAATCAGAATCTTAGATACACAGACCATTCACAGTGCTCTGCTTATGCAACCCAACCAGGAGGAGGTGCACCAGCTGCTCACTCACATCAAGCTTGGCTTGTTTTATATGCATAGAAATATTAATAAAAAAAAAAAAAAGCAACTGAGGTCAGTAGTAGCTCAGTGATTAGGAAGTTGGACTACTAATCTGAAGGTCGTGAGTTCAAATCCTAGCACTGCCGAGCTGCCACTGCTGGGCCCTTGAGCCAGGCCCTTAACCCTCAACTGCTCAGTTGTATAAATGAGATAAATCGAAGTTGCTCTGGATAAGGGTGTCTGCCAAATGCTGTAAATGTAAAAACCCTTTTGTGGGGTCTTTGGTCTTGCTTCTGTAATCTCCATCGAATGAAAGGCTGGCTTCCAGGATCCTGGAGAAGTAGAGAGCTCCTTTGTGATTCATCACTTGTCTTCAACGTGAATAGGATCTGTAATCCATCACAATCTCTTTTCTTATTAAATTCTTAAGGATACTCTTTTCTACTCCCTCAGTGTGCTCCTCCGTCCTTTCCTATTTGAGGAATAAATATAAAATGAAAGCAAAGGGTAGATAAATTCCCTCCTCTCACCCAAGCCCTACTTTCTGCCATAGCAGTGTGTCCATTGCTGTTTAAGTTTGGACAAGTGTCTCACTAGAGGTCCAGTCAGTATGCGTGAGCATATATAGCTTTTCAAAGAGGCCAGTGTGGATTTCTTTTTAAATCTGACACATGTACAAATTAGGCATTGTTTGGCAGGCAACCAAGCTCACAATTATCTTTAAAAATAAATAAAATAAATAAAATAAAATTAATAAAATTAAATTAATAATAATAATAATAATAATAATAATAATAATAATAATAATAATAATAATAATAATAATAAAAAGACAGTTAACTCTGTGAACTTGAAGTTTTAAGAGCAGTCCCTTAAGCAGAAATTGCTTAATAAATCTTGTGCTTTTGGCTGCCTTGTGATGATAGAAATAGGAAATCCTGTCTTCTGAGAATTACTTACATAACAGCAAGCTGCATTAAGATGAGAAGAGAGAGAGAGAGTCAGACAGTCGGGAGAACAAGCAAAGCAGATGTTTTCTCATTAATTGAGGAGAAGAGGGATGGAGAGAGTGGATTTAAGTGCCAAGCTGTAATGAGTCATGGAGTGCAATGACCTGGGACATCGTGCAGAAGACAAAAGATGCACTCACAAGATGCTGGGAGGTGCATCACAGATGGAAAAACTGAAAGAAAATCAGTGAACAGCTCTGGATATGAGAGAAATGAGTCAATGAATAGATTTGCACATTTGAAAATTAGAAATGCAAGTAGTATGTTTCAGCAGATGACACATCAATGCATGGAGAAACAGTTTCAGTGGAAAAGCTTCAGCTTCCTGTGGAAAAGAAAAACGTCATGCAATCAGGTGAGAAAAGACTTATAAATCCCTAAAACTTTGCTAGGTTAACAGTGAAGAATGGAACTGCGAAGCTGACCCAGTAACAAAGTGCATGTATCTATGGTATGTGCTCCCTATTGAACTCTCTCTCTTTTTTTTAGATGATGGTTTACTACAGGTTGCATGGCAAGGTCAAGCTGCATTACCATCAGCTTTTATCTTGAATCACAGATCCGTGGAGCCTACCAGGTCAGACCTGATAGCTCCTGCTCATCTAATGACCTCAGAGTATGGGCAAACCCTTTTGTACCTCACCCGTCTGTCAGGTTTATCTTTCTAGTGAGGAGGGGTGGGAAAACCATTACGATAAGGCATTGTGCTGGATACAGAGCTAAAATCTTGTACCTGGAGGATTGAGATTTATGGCATAGTCTACGTTAAAAACCCTGTCGTGTGAAATACTGTGTCCTCTACAAATACAAGGATAAAATTATGATATATGCAAATGGAAAATAGCAAATCAACAATAATGCACAGACCAAAATCAATGTCATAAGGTGATATTTTCTAAGTGTGAAAGTCCTTTTCTTATTCTCATTGTGTGATCTATTTTGCAAAAGCAGATAATTTGTATTTTTTGATTTCTCTGGTCCCTCAAATTGACCTATCCAATTTAAACAAAACACCAAACCGCTCTTCAGCAGCTCTCTTTTCTAGTGAGCCAAAACAGACCCGGCAGTCTTTCTAAATGCTTTCCAATAGCAGCTAATTCAATAAACGCTCTTTTGCCTCTTGATTGGTCTTGTGGGAGACACACAGATATGAATCAACAAATGTGAAAAGCAGAACACTTGCAAATATGTTTGGTGCAAAAATGCCACTAAAATATCCTGAGAATCTCATCTTTATGTAACCATGATAGAAAAGACAACTCTACTTTATATAATAGGCTGGCTATATTAGAATTTGCACAACAGCTTAAAAAAAGTATGCATCTCCGCAATATAGGTTGTGTATATTTGTGTATGTATTCACATTTTGCCAAGCACTGATGTCAGTCCCTCAATATGTCAGCACATTCCCTAGTATGTTGCTGCCTTTTCATTTAGTATCCTGAAGCTCAACTGAGACATATCCACTATATCATACTGTCAGGCCCGGGTTCATAAAACAAGTGATCATGCTGTCACGTACAAGTTCCGTGTCAATAACCGTCTGACGCACAACAGCTGGCTTTGTGCTAATACGATGTTAATTGATTCATAGTTCCTCCTCTCCTACAGCAATTTGTATCAAAAGAAGCTTAGACTCAAAATCAATTTACAGTTGCTGCCAATTATCAATCAAAGATTATATGCTGAAATGTACTGAGCATGCAACATTTCCTTAGGAACAAATCAAGTAGAAAAAGCTATTGATTACAATCAACAGAGACAATGATAGGCATTAAGCAATCCCACTGCAAGCTACATTTTGGAGACAGCGCTAGCCATCCATCCATCCACTTTCCATACTGCTTATCCTACACAGGGTCATGGAGAGCGCAAGGCAGGAGACACCCTGGATATCTTTGGACTGGAGAGGAAACCAGTGTACCTTGAGGAAACCCCCAAAGCATGCGGAGAACATGTAAGCTCCATGCACAGAGGGCGGAGCCAGGATTCAAACCCCAAACCTCAAGGTGCAAGTCAATCCACCTAAATGCATGTTTTTGGTATGTGGAAGGAAATAAGAGAACCTGAAGGAAACCCAGATGGACACTGGGGGAGAACATGTGAAACTCCTCAAATTCAGTAAGACAATATAAAAGAGACTCAGGGACGTTTCCCTCCACATAATTTATATTGATAACAACCAGATATACATGTGATCAGCAGATGGCCTTGTTTACTGTACTAGATGGTATTTGGAATTTGGACTGTTTATTAGAAAGTGTTCAGAAAGTGTGTCATATCACAGCAAACCAGCAAGTCCATTTCCCAGAATATGCCAACAACTACAACCATGGCCAAAGAGGACTACACTTCCCACACACACACACACACGCATGCAAACACACGTTAACCTTCTCTGGCGTTCTAATCACACACACCTGTTTCCAATCTCACTCGCTTTCACTCCAAAGTTTAAAAGAGACTGTTCAAACAAACCATACTTGCGAAGTATACTCTCAGCTGCCTTGTCTCTCGTTACCAAGCCTTATATCGTGTCTGTTTATTCTGATGCTTTGACTTTGCATATCTTTATGACTTTGTCTCTTTGCCCTGCCCTGTTTGTGCTGTTTTCCTGATCACCTGACCTCTGCATGCTCATGATTGCTGTCTTCTGCCTTATTCTTTGGACTTGTTTTTGGATTAAAATACCTAACCTGCACTTGCGTCTGTCTGTGCCTCCTTTACGTGACCATGTGGCCCTTCTTCAAATGGATCAGTACACTTCATCTGAGTCTCCGTTGTTATTCCAGCAGGGACGCTGGAGCTGTGATATACATATTGAATTGTTTGACTTAATTCTTAAAGCTGTGGTGTACAACTAATACAGTGAGGGAAAAAAGTATTTGATCCCCTGCTGATTTTGTAGTTTGCCCAGTAACAAAGAAATGATCAGTCCATAATTTTGATGGTAGGTTTATTGAACAGTGAGAGACAGAATAAAAACAACAAAAAAATACAGAAAAATGTCAAAAATGTTATAAATTGATTTGCATTTTAAGGAGGGAAATAAGTATTTAACCCCCCTCTGCAAAACATGACTTAGTACTTGGTAATGACTTAGTAATTACTTTTAATTTTCAATGCCCTGGCTGAGGGAAGGAGGTTCTCACCCAAGATTTGACGGTACATGGCCCCGTCCATCGTCCCTTTGATGCGGTGAAGTTGTCCTGTCCCCTTAGCAGATAAACACCCCCAAAGCATAATGTTTCCACCTCCATGTTTGACGGTGGGGATGGTGTTCTTGGGGTCATAGGCAGCATTCCTCCTCCTCCAAACACGGCGAGTTGAGTCGATGCCAAAGAGCTCCATTTTGGTCTCATCTGACCACCAGAGGACAACTGGGTGAAAGTGTTGTGGTCTTTTGTGTTTCCTGTCAAAGCTGAACACAACACTAACACTGTTCTGTTCCAGGATGATATCTACAGTACATGGGGCTAAATCTGTGTGACCTGTTCGATGAGCATGATAGAACACTTTTACTGGCCTCATGAAATCTCTGTTATAATCACCACAAACTGGGGAAAACTGGTACAATCATTACTTGACATGAATGAACACATACACACACACACACACCTTAAAGTGCTAATCTCCTCCATAGATGTTCACAGTAAGATAGTAAAGAAGCTGCCTAAACCTGGCCTTTAAAAAAATGTCAGTTAATGTCACCATCATCACTTTATTACACAGAGAGGATTAATCTCGAGGCTGTGCACTGCCAGAGTATATCTAAAGAATCAGGACGGAGAGCATTGAAACAAATTGGATTTTCCCTATGTTATATTATTAGATTTATTACCCATGACTGCACAGTAACATACTGAACAATTGCTTAACTTTTTATTCTGGAAATTAAGAGTGTTTTCTTATTGATAAGTCTTTCTTACAGACTTTATCCTTTCATTATAAGAATTGTTTTTTATTGTTGTTGGGTTTTTCTTTTCCAAATATGTGTAAATTTAAAACAAAATACAATGCTCAGGTAGTATGCTCATATTAAATATTTTTTTCCCATTTATTATATGCAGGGAAGGTTGTAGTGTGCTTATGGAAATGAACAGCCAGTTTCAATTCATCTATCACATACTGCATAT